ACTTTAACGCCAGGGTGGGCAAGGAAGGTAGCTTTGACACAACAGTCGGTAAATTCAGTCTCCACGAGGAAGATCCCCAAATGGGTTGAGGCTGAACGACTTCGCCGGGCCCGAAAAATGGTTGTCTGTAGTAATTGATTCCAGCATAGAAAAATTTTCCTGAACGAAAGACTACCAACCACATCGATAATGTTGCGATATACGGAAGACACGTCTCCAGTGTTTTAGTTGTGCGTGCGTTCCGAGGTCCTAACATCGACTCGAACCACTATTTTGTTTCAGCCAAGATACGCACTCACCTCTGTGTAGCAAAAAACGCACGTCAACAAACACAACGGAAGGTTCGACGTCGGAATCGCGAAGTATGGAATCGCTTTTTGGCTTATCTTTAATACAGGAGCTTTACCACCATTTGATTTAATTTTTAAAATTCTTTATTACAACTTTTTCCCCCCTCAAAAATAGATACATATATTTATATATATGCATATATTTGTATATTAAATAATATATTTTTTTTTGCTTTTCATTTTGAAAATCAAATTTTTGATACCAAAATTGAAGCATACGCTGCCAAAAAGAATATCTCTGTTTGTTGCTAACAGACATAACTTCTCATATGCAAAAGCTATTTTTTAACCAGTAATTTTCCCTAAACAAGACACTGTGCGCCACCTTTCTTTGCCGGTTTTAAGGTATAAAATTGTTCTTTATCGTTACATCAATTTGCTTGTATGTGTTAATTAATGTTTATGCGTGCAGCACGCGTGCTGCTGCTATTTTTTTAGCACTGCTCGATTTATATATATTTACAGCTATTTTACAATTTCAATTTTCTTTTCCGTATATTTGCGCTGCTTCTGGGGCACTTTCACACCTAGCGTATGTATATACTTATATACATACATATGTACATTATACGCAAGTACTGACATTGACGCTTACGCGGCGCGTGCAACGTCGCAGTTTATTATTGTTTACGAATGAACTGGCTTATTTTTGTTGCAACAATTCACATCAAAAACGTCTGCGCTGAAGTTATTATTATTATATTAATTGGTTTTGCTCGTTATTATTGCAGTTGTTGTGCATTTTCGCATTAGTCATAAATAATTGCACAATTTTTTATGGCCATAACTCATGGCACACACATGCATATGTATACATTTGTATAAAAACCGTTAATTTATTATTTTATTTATATTTTTTTTATTAAAATATCAACATATTCGCTTGATTGTCGTAGTTTGTTTTGGTGAGTTGACGCGTTTTCGCGATTTCGTTTGCATTTAATATTCGTTAAAGTATTACACTGCTTGAATTTTCATAATTTTTCATAAGCTTGTATAAAAATTTTCGTGTTTTTCGCCATTGTAAATGCTTTATTTACAATAAATATTTTTTATTTGCATTTAAATTTGATTTTTTTCGCGTTTCGAAAGTGTCCAAAAAGTCCTGCTTACATAACGTGCGCATTCGAGCGATTTGGCCAACGTTATGTGTACGCGCGCACGGCCAAGCACCGAGAATTATGAGAGGTGTTAGCCGTTTTTAATAAAAATACTAATATAAAACTCGCTTGCCGCGCTTTGTTGTTGTTTTTCGTGTTATTCAATTGCCAACGCTTGAATTTTCACTTTGTGGTAGGCTATGTGCGGTGTTTGTTGTTATTTTTTCACGCCAAAATTTTACTTTTTATTCTATTTTCGCACGTCATTTTGAACAGTTTTTCGTGATTCTTGCTAAAAATGCCGTCAGTTCTAGCCGCACAACGGCAACTGTTTTGCCGTCAGCATTGTCAGCGCGTGAGAGCGGCCACAACACGGCATCGGCACACATACATATGTGTCTTTTATAAATATGTATTTATATCTGTGTATGCATATCTAAATAATTTGTATAAAAATGAAATCAAGTAGAACAACAAAAGCGTATTTGTTGCATACACTTCACAGCGCTTTGTGTAAAAATAGTTGCCCACTGCTGTGACAAAGGCAACGCCAGCAATGTTGGCAAAGCAGCGGCAGGAGCATTCTTTATCTACACACATACATGCAGTTGTGAAAGCCAAAACAGCTGCACATCGCACTGTGCTGCACTAGCACATCACACACACAACTACAGCACAGCACCAACATCCCGTGTGCGCGAAGTACCCGTTGGCCATAGGCCGCGCGTCGGTGTGGCTCAATAGTTGCCAACGTTTGTCCGCGCTGCCCGCGTGCGCTGCGCTTGCAACGTCGTCATCGTTGTCATAGTCACAACTAACACTGCTGGCACTCAGTGTGTATATAGATATGTGTATATATTTGCATATACATATGTATGTATGTATGTATGTTTTTCCGTCGGTGCGCCGTCATTGTTGGCGTCATCAAACGCCAAACACAGAGGCGGTCCCAATGACAACATAATTCCACAACATAGTTGACATAGATGATTTTATAGAGAATAGGCCAAAATGCCTTGGTCCACACTAAAACAAATGCCGTCAGCGCCCTCTGGCGTTTAGACGACGTTGGAAAGTCCATTTCATATACAAGTGTATTTAGATTAATATATATATACATATTAGGGTGATTGAAACAAATTTTTTTTCGTTTGGTTCTCTGAAAAATATTCTCCTCGACTGCTCTAAGAAAACCTCTCCAAAAACTTATGAGTTTCATTCATAATGATTTTTTTTTCATTGAGTTACATATAAACTTCATATGAAATAAAAAATTTTCCCAAAAATAATCAAATTTCAACCGTTAATATCTTTTAAACGGTTGGGTTTACGAAAAAATTGTAGAGCATTCAATTTCCTACAAAATCCAAGGAACAAAATATATTTTGAAGCGGTTGGAAGCGAGATATAAACTTTTCTATCAGATAATAAGAAAAAATATAAAACTGTCAGTAGGAGGACTTTCCCGTTACAATTAAGAACTCATTCTTGGAGAGACTTTTAGAGGTGTCTAGGAACCTATTTTTCAGAGTACCAAATTAAAAAAAAAAAAATTTTTTTGAATCACCCTAATATATGTATACGTATATATATATACGTTATATATCATATTTTTATTTACATATATTATATATAAACTTGTATATGTAAACATATGYATATATGTAATTTCTTTTCACTATTATTAGGTGAAAATTCCTTTGGCTAAGCGCCAAACATGAAAATTCGTTACATTTAGCGCTGATTCATACATACTATATGTATATAGTATATATTTTTATATAGATATATATCATATTCATAAACATATATCTCCAAATGTTTATATAATTTTTATTAACATTTTTCAGTTAGCGATCTTGCCTATATCTATATTTCCATCGTTACTAAACTGCATGTTCCGTTCGGTGCTTTCTCAAGTGCGATAACTTTTGCAACACAGTGTTGCCTTTGTCAGTGACGTTCAAATTGTTGTTTTTTTCTTGCATTTTATTGCAAATTCATTTATTTACTTTGGAGTGTTTGGCGCATATATATATTTTTTGGCAGCATTTCAATTAAGACAACCCACACCCCCTACCAACTGGTAGAATAGTTCGCTGTCACTTTTTTAGATTATTATTCTCTCACTTTCGTTACTTCAACGTTTGATTACTTGTCAGTTTTAGTGAACCTGTCAGTCAAACGTGTTCAGATTCAAATTCAAAATCAGATGTGTGGCTTAAAGTCAGAGAACAGACAAAAACAGAGCGGAAATGCGGGTGGAAAAGATTTCATTCATATATATGTAATGTTATAGTAAAAAATTGGCAGTGAATGTTCTGCTTTGTCGATTTTTTGCACTATTTGTATAGCGCATGTATCCCCGTTGGATGGAGTCATGTGTAGAAGTTCACGCAAGTAAGGAAAGTTCTCTGAGCACCATTTACTTGGAAGTGGCCAGAAACGATTCTTTTACATATGGTTAAAGCAGCTCATGACTTCCGATCTTCAAGTATCATCTGGGTAGCCAAAAATATCCGTTTGAAGACGAACTGAGGTCAGAAGGTTGTGCGCTGGGTTTGGGACCCGCCACATAAAAAACGACTTCAATAAAAAAGTACCAACAGGCCTGGAAGAGCAACTGATGACGATTAATGCAAACGTATTAAGGATTACAATTTAAGGGAATGCACCTGGAATATCTGGTCCCATCATTGGGAGCTAATGAAATGTATTGGACGGGACAAGGACTGAGACGAGTAGGTTCTTGTGGCATTTAGTGGAAGAGATACTCGGTTGCCGAGTACTGGCCGGTAGATTAAAGTTCGAGTTTTCGAAAGAAAAGGTTCTGTGGAAAATTTTTTGTGCTTTGCGCATTAGAAAAGGCGAATAATTGTCATAAAAAGTTTAAAGAGATAGCAGAAGTCACAATTCCATTGGATTAGGACTTTAATATTATCTTTTTACAAGCCGTCTTAACTTAAACTTAGCGTTAACTTTTCGTATACTTTACTTAAATTAAGTGTAAATATTTTAATTATTATCAAAAATCCTTTTTAATTGTCATGTTAGGCCTTCCTGTAAAAACTGAAGAACACAATGGACTCAAGAGAAACACGTCATATCTTGGAACACTGACAACACTGGGCATACCACAAAAGTACTTTGGGTAGATAATTAGATGAGAACCTAAGGCCTATTATGCTCTTTTCTAAGTGACAAGGACTTCGCTAACCTCAGCATATAGATAAATCTTAAAGATAAAAATTAATTGCACTACTATGTGCTGATGAGGCGATGTGATCCCTATTTGGAAACATGGATCTTTAGTCTGGAGACTGCAAGTCAATTAGCAGGTGTTCTGTAGTTTCAGGCTCCCTGTCGCAGAACCTTCAATTTGCACAAGAAGCCAGGCTCATGACCCTTATAATAGTTTGTCAAAAAAGTCTTGCGGTATTTTTTACTTATTTTATTTTTTTTTTTTTGTTTTATAACGGTTTGATGACTCATGCCCAGCTCTTGACCGATGCTACAGCTGCTACTATGCCGGTCTCTTTCGACCAATTCATCGATTTTATCGCAATTTTCGACGACAGGCCTTCTGGAGCGTGGCGCWTCTTCAACCACCTCTACACCAGAACGAAAACGTTGAAACCATCGTTGTGCGGTGGAAATCTAAACTGTATCGGGTCCATAAACTGCACAAATTTTATTGGCTTCTTCAGATGCATTTTTGCCTTTATCGTAGTAGTACTGTAAAATATGCCGTATTTTCTATTAATTTTGCTCCATGTTTGCGACGCTATAACTCACGAACGACTTAAAAGAAACGACAATCAGTCAAACACGTGTTAGCGCGTGAAATTCGGCTTTCCAAAAAGGTATAGCGACGATGCGACGAATAAAACTAGAACTACGCGCTATCAGCGCCAACTAGCGAAAATACCGCAAGACTTTTTTGACAACCTAGTATAAGTACTTCTTGGGCCTACAATGGCCAGTGTCGAATGCGACAAATAGCCTGAGTTTGTTACTTTGGGATAGTATCGATAGTGAACAGACCAAAAAGTTTCTACTTTTAGACAAGAGGAAACTAAATATTCCAGGGTCATCACAGAAAATCTATCGCCCAGCTATCTTATCAAAAACTTGGTAAAGTGAAATCGGCGTAATGTAGAGCATGAGGGGTGGTTGATGAGACGCTGGAACTTTAGACTTGCGAATGCCCAGGCTTGAGCCGATTGAGACGGGATATTATTAATAGACATTGGGTAGCTGGGTGGAAATATTTCGTCAAATTCAATGAGTTGAGGGATACGACTTTATTGGTTATCTCTTGAGAGTACAATCGGTTTAATGTTGACCTAAATGAGGTTGTCTGTGTCTGGCGYTTGTGCGCCTCCCTTTTCTACCAACCAACCAAGGTCAAGGCTGAATTATGCCTCTATTAGAAACCAATTCTATTAGAATTCTTAGTCTAGCAAGCTTATTCGTAGTTTCAGCCAATGTTGACCATATTACATAAGGGTCCGACTATTGGGCTTACAAACCTAAAACTTAGGGTCCGTCTTAATGACTGTCAGAATTAGATAATTGGAACAGATTATATCTCTGTACGAATTATCGTACTTTTGATCACCGTATTATTCCTTTTGCAAGATTTTAGAACTCGTTTACTTTTTAATATTTTAAAAATCGAAATCCATTGGTTTTGAGCTTTTGCATCCAAAAATCACTTATGACACATAAATTTTAGAGCAACATTTTATACAACATCTTGCTTTACACACTCCACGCTGACACAAAATCACATGCATACAACACTTAAGTTTTATGTAAGTATTATAGCATACTCACAGGCTAATGATGCCACGCAACGCCGGCATGTCCCGGCGACGATTCAAAGGCGGCGACATAGACAACGACAGGAACTCCTGCTGTCGGTCTTCATCGATGCTGGTGTTGAAGATGCGCGTCGTCGGCAAGTAGCCAATTTGCTGCAGAAAATCATCACGATACGAGAGTTTCGTCGACGATTGCGACGACGTCAGCGGAAAGTGGGTGGAATGCGACATAACACCCACACCACCGACACCACTGCCGCCACCACCGCTCATGTGCCGATCAATGGACGATTGTTTCTGCATGGCGGACGTTGGGTGGTGGAAGTGTGTATGGAAGTGATGATGTGTCAAATAATTACTGTGACCGCCAATGCCGGCACCACTACCAACAGCGACGCCGCTGCCGCTGCTGTTACCGCTGTTAAGTGGCGCAATGATTTTGTCATCGAAACTGCGCCGAAAGCTAAAACCTTTAATTGTGCTGTAATTGCGATGGGTTAGCGGTGTTGTGCCCAAATCGATGGAAGCGGGCCCAAGCAATTTCATGCTGCTCAAATAGTTCGTGGCATTACTGCTGCCGCCACCGCCGCTCATGCCGCTGCTTAGAGGTGTGCTGGCACTGAGTGCCGGTGAAATGCTACTCAAATGACTATTGCTGCCGGTGAGTAGTGTAAAACCTGGTCCACTAACACCAACGCCACCACCACCACCGCCGCCGAAGCCGCCGCCGCCGCTACCACTACCATATGTGGAAAGATTACCGCTGATGGGTAGGCGTTGTAGCGGACTCAAAGACGATTTCGGTTTGTTTATAATATTGCAATTGCTGTTGTTGCCGCTGCCACCGCCACCATAAATCGATGTAGTTGTTGTGTGACCGGACACCGAAATACCTGCTAGACCATTGCTGAGCGCGCAGTAATTGCCGGTTATGATGGGACTACAGCGACCAGCTGCTACCGCGCCGACACTAGCGCTAATCGCAATATTATTGGAGATCGTCGACGTTGGCAAACTGCATATTATGGTGGGCGGCGGTGAAAGTTGCGAGACCAGTGATGGCGTTGACGACGAAATGCCGCTGTCGCCGCTGCTGCAGAGCGTGCTGCCGATGCCAATGCTGCCCAGGCCGACATTGGCGGCGCTGCTGACGTTAACGCCAACACCAACGCCGACGCCGACCGCAACACCGGTGATGCCACCGCTATGGCAGTGCTGCGGTGACGATGTTGAGGTCGTTGTCTCAATTGTAATGGTATTTGATGTTGACAAAACGACGGGTGGTGCCAGTGTAACGGCGCTTTGTTTGTTGTTTTTGTTTTCAACTTTTGTTTTTTTTTTAATCTGCAAATGGACGCTTCGCTTATACCAGCCTTTTTGTGTTCTATTTATTATTATTTTTTTTTTTAATTGTTTTGCTTTCTTGTTTGGTTTTTGTTTTAGTTATGACTTTAAAGTGCTTGTTGTTTTTGCAATTTGTGTCTTTGTTGCTTTGATCAATTGTTGGCCTGCGCTTGTTGTACTCGTACTGCTTCCTGGCTTTTCAAGTCTTCAATTTCCGCTATTTGTCTGCTTCCTTTTCGGCTTCTGCTTCTTCTTCTTCTGCTGCTGCTTCTTTAGCTCACATTAAAATGTGCCAGTGTTGCCAGCGCTCGACAGCCTCCAACATATGTTTGTGAGTGCGTGTGTGTCGACCCGTGTTTTCTTGCTTTGTTGTTGTTGTCTCTTGTCTGTTGCACTGACATGCGGTCTTTTATGTTTTTTGCTTTTGTTGTTGCGCTTGCTTGCCACCGCAACGGTCAACGCGTTGCCTGCTAACAGCGGCGTGTAACACCCCTACATTTGCAACAACAACAACCACAATAATAATAACTGCAGCAGCCGAAATTTTGCACCATCGGGCATGCCATTGAACTATGCAGCCCTGCCGGCTAACTGTTTAAAAATTATAATGCAATACCACAGCCAATTCCAGATTACTCATACGCACTGTTGAACCCACAAACGCTGCATGCGACTTTATTTGATATACTTGTGTGCTTTGCCCGGTTTCGTTCGTTGCCCTATCACAAGTAACGGCTGGTGTGCACTACAAATTTGTATATATTTTCGTATGTATGATTGTGTGCATTTTGTTGTGAATGTGTGTGTGTGTGTATGTACGCTTGTGCCTGAATGCTTGCTAAGTGCCTTGGTGCCTTTGTTCACACGGCAATTGCACTGGCAGATTTTTTTGTATGTGTTGGTATATATGCGTGTGTGTATGTTTTCCTTTGCTTAATCACTCGCCACTGTAGGCAACTGCGCTGAAACGCCACAAAGTATGCTTTTATAATTTTTTCACGTATAAAAATTAGTAAATTCCCTATTAAAATTATTATTATTTGTTATTTTAAAGCTTTTAGCGCCTACATGCATATACATACATACAAGTATGCATATTTTTTGATGGAAAAGTTTACTGTTATGCGCATATACGTTAGCACATTGCTTTCAACTGCTTATTTATATGTATGCGTACCCGCTGTGCCTCGGTATGTGTATACTTTTGACCACTTCACATGGAATTTTTCACATTTCGCAGCTTTAGCTTCGACTGCATACATTTTTAATGCAGCGCACACGGCATTAACTCATTTCACTTTCACGCAATTTCCGTTAGGTTATAAATTTATTGTGGATTTTGTTTTTTTTTTAGTATTTTAAGGTAGAAAATTTAGCAGTTGGTTAATGGTATTTCTTTCAAACAACTTTTTTTCCTTTGGTCAAAAATTTTGCTGCCCAAACTTATCGTCGTACATCGTCTACGTCGTCAACTTGCTTTCTGCACTCTGTCTGCTCCTATTCAACTCAGTTCAGGCCCAGCTCGTTTCATAGTTATCAACACTGCTTCCAAATGTCAGTTCGCGTTTGCTGCCAAGGAAGTTTCCACTCTATTCTTCATTCCTCCACACGCACAAGCACACGTACATGTACTAACAGCATTTCGAAATGAGTTCCGCTAGATTCTCGTCATTGCGCATGATCAATAAATAATGAAAACAAACACCATACCGTTTGCTTTGTTGTTGTGCTTTCTCTCTGTTGTCACTGCACCTTTTGGTTGTGTAGTTGTTATTGCTGCTAGTGTCATAGCTGACACCGCACTTTGTAGCCAAACAGCTTTTAGCGCTCCCGCTCCAACTCGGCTGCCAACTGTATGTTGTGCCAGAAACTGTCACGGTTGTACGTCGCTCTTTGAACTCCGCACGCTCTGCAAGCGTCAATCAATTGGCGCTCAAAACATGCCCTTACCCACGTTGTGGTGGTTACGTGCCGTTCTACTTCCATTTTTCTTTGTAGAACAGCTGTAACGCTTTGTTGTGAGCGGTCAAACACCTAACACCATTCCTTGTGGATAATTTCATTATTTTGATCGTCGGCAACTAATCTAGAAAGTTACACCAACAACTAACAGTTTATAAAATTTAGATTAGATTAAATCGGAAGTCATAGTTCTACAGACTCACAGATTCCTGTTAGACGTTTTTAAAGTTAAAAATCAATTTAATTGTTAAAAGATTGTATTTTCTTCAAATTCTCAGTCGATTGAAGTCTTTACAAAATGTAATATCTTTTTAATCCAATATACCAGTACCATTCCTAAATTCCATTTCCATTTCCAATATTAGTTTTATTATTATTTAATTTTAAGTTATTTTATTTTATAATTATTAATGTAAACTCAAAAATACAGCCCCACCCTAATTGAAAATCAAAGATATTTTATCATTTATTTCAATGCAACCCTGCGTTCAGGCAATTATCAACGAATACGTGAGCAAAGAAAAATTATAAATAGGAAGTGATAGACGAAAGAATTGGTTTTGCAGAAAATTTTAAAAATTTCCAATTAAAAAATGTTTATAATCTAAATTAATTAAGTACAAAGTGTTTCAAACATTATTCCAAATCATAGTCAAGTGAAATTTACATTTGAAATACATTCCAATACTACAAAAGACGACCTCAGTAAGTGCAGTGTAGTGAAGTGTAGGTGCGGCGGTCGCGCTTATTGAATTGTTGCAATAGCAAATTGGAAAAGCAGAGCAGACCGCCACAATGGCACGCCCAATTTATCCAAATCAACAGAAAATAGCTGAAAAGCTGGTGATACTCAACGATCGTGGTCTGGGTATATTAACGCGTATTTATAATATTAAAAAAGCATGCGGCGATACAAAATCCAAGCCAGGTTTTCTATCAGACAAATCGCTTGAGTCATCTATTAAATTTATTGTAAAACGTTTCCCCAATATCGATGTAAAGGGCTTAAATGCAATAGTGAATATAAAAGCGGAAATTATTAAATCGCTTTCCCTATATTATCACACTTTTGTTGATTTGTTAGATTTTAAAGACAATGTCTGCGAATTGCTCACCACAATGGATGCTTGCCAGATACACTTGGATATTACACAAAATTTTGAGTTGACAAAACATTATCTGGACTTAGTAGTTACATATGTTTCTTTAATGATATTGCTGTCACGCGTTGATGATCGCAAAGCCGTTTTGGGCCTCTATAATGCAGCCTACGAACTGCAGAATAATCAAGCAGATTCGGGTTTTCCACGTCTAGGACAAATGATATTAGATTATGAAGTGCCGCTGAAACGGTTATCGGAAGAGTTTATACCGCATCAGCGTTTGCTAACCAATGCACTGCGTTCACTTATCGCAATTTATCCGTTAAGAAATTTGCCAGCTGATAAGTGGCGTGAAATGCAAAAACTCAGTTTAGTGGGTAATCCAGCAATATTGCTAAAAGCTGTGCGTACCGACACAATGTCCTGCGAATATGTTTCACTTGAAGCAATGGATCGTTGGATAATATTTGGCCTGCTGCTGAATCATCAAATGCTCGGACAGTATCAGGAAGTAAATAAAATTTGGATATCTGCTTTAGAATCGAGTTGGGTCATTGCATTGTTTCGTGATGAAGTATTGCAAATACATCAATACATACAGAGCACCTTTGACGGCATCAAAGGTTATAGCAAACGCATTGGTGAAGTAAAGGAAGCATATGCTGTGGCAACACAGAAAGCAGCGCTAATGCATCGTGAACGGCGCAAGTTTTTGCGTACCGCCTTGAAAGAGCTGGCGCTTATAATGACTGATCAGCCCGGCTTGTTGGGACCAAAAGCAATTTTCATATTTATTGGTTTATGTTTAGCGCGTGATGAAATACTATGGCTATTGCGGCACAACGATAATCCGCCAGTGACGAAGAATAAAGGTATTTTCATTTTAAATTACAAAAAAATTTTCTTACTAATTTTTTAACAACTTGTTCATGCAGGTAAATCCAATGAGGACCTTGTTGATCGTCAATTGCCAGAACTACTCTTTCATATGGAGGAACTGCGCGCTCTGGTGCGCAAATACAGTCAAGTTATGCAACGCTATTACGTGCAATATCTTTCCGGGTTCGACTCGATCGATCTCAACATACGGATGCAAAGTTTGCAAGTTTGTCCGGAGGATGAAAGTGTCATCTTGTCTTCGCTGTATAACACCGCTTCAAGTTTGACTGTGAAACAAGTGGAGGACAATGAATTATTTGATTTTCGTGCTTTTCGGCTGGATTGGTTTCGCTTGCAAACTTACATGAGCGTCAGTAAAGCCGCGCTACGCATAACGGAAAATGTCGAATTGGCACGTTTGCTAGACTCTATGGTTTTCCACACACGCGTTGTGGATAACTTAGACGAGATACTCGTTGAGACCTCTGATTTAAGTATTTTCTGTTTCTACAATAAAATGTTTGACGATCAATTCCATATGTGTTTGGAATTTCCGGCACAAAATCGTTACATTATTGCATTTCCCTTGATTTGCAGTCACTTCCAGAATTGTACGCATGAAATGTGCCCCGAAGAGCGTCATCACATACGCGAGCGTTCGCTTAGTGTAGTTAACATCTTCTTGGAAGAGATGGCCAAAGAAGCCAAGAATATTATAACAACCATATGTGATGAGCAATGTACAATGGCCGATGCGCTGTTGCCGAAACACTGTGCCAAAATACTCTCAGTGCAATCAGCGCGGAAAAAGAAGGACAAAGCCAAAAAGCAATTCGACGATATACGCAAACCGGGTGATGAGTCGTATCGCAAAACACGCGAAGACTTGACCACAATGGACAAATTGCATATGGCACTGACGGAGTTGTGCTTTGCCATCAATTACTGTCCGACGGTGAATGTGTGGGAATTTGCATTTGCACCGCGCGAATATCTTTGTCAGAATTTAGAGCATCGTTTCTCGAGAGATCTCGTCGGCATGGTCATGTTCAATCAGGAGACTATGGAAATTGCAAAACCATCGGAACTGCTAGCCACTGTGCGCGCATACATGAATGTGCTACAGACCGTGGAGAATTATGTGCATATCGACATAACGCGCGTATTTAACAACTGTCTTTTGCAGCAAACGCAGAATTTAGATTCGCATGGCGAGAAGACTATAGCCGCATTATATAATACATGGTACATAGATATATATATATATTTTTTTTTTCAATAAAAACATTTCAAATTTCTATTTTACGCTTCACTCTACAGGTACAGCGAGGTACTAGTGCGTCGTGTCTCCTCCGGCAATATTGTATTCTCCATGAATCAGAAAGCATTTGTGCCCATATCGCCGGAAGGTTGGGTGCCTTTTAACCCCCAAGAATTCTCCGACCTCAACGAATTGCGTTCATTGGCCGAACTTGTCGGTCCCTATGGCATAAAATCGCTGAATGAAACACTCATGTGGCACATTTCCAATCAAGTGCAAGAGCTCAAACAACATGTTGCCTCCAACAAGGATGTGCTCATACTGTTACGCACAAGTTTCGATAAACCCGAGGTAATGAAAGAGCAATTCAAACGTTTACACGATGTCGATAGCGTACTACAACGCATGACACTCATTGGTGTGATACTTTGCTTCCGTAATTTGGTACATGAAGCGCTCGTCGATGTGCTGGAGAAGCGTATACCTTTCTTACTTAGTTCAGTGCGTGATTTCCAAGAGCATTTGCCAGGTGGCGATCAAATACGCGTCGCTTCCGAAATGGCCTCGGCCGCTGGCTTGCCGTGTAAAGTCGATCCGACGCTAACCAGCACTTTGAAATCGAAAAAACCCGATTTCGATGAAGGCGAACATTTAGTGTCATGTTTGCTAATGGTTTTCGTTGCTGTTTCTATACCAAAATTGGCACGCAACGAAACGTCATTCTATCGCGCCTCTATCGATGGGCATTCGAATAATACACACTGCATGGCAGTGGCGATCAATAATATATTCGGCGCGCTATTCACCATTTGTGGTGAGAACGATATAGAGGATCGCATGAAAGAGTTCTTGGCATTGGCGAGCTCATCACTATTGCGTTTGGGTCAGGAATCGGACAAGGAGGCGACACGTAATCGCGAATCGGTGTATTTGCTCTTGGATGAGATTGTTAAACAATCGCCTTTCCTCACGATGGACTTGCTGGAATCTTGTTTCCCATATGTGCTCATACGCAATGCATATCATGCGGTCTACAAGCAGGAACAAATGTTGGGACTTTAAGGGTCAGAAAAGTGTATCGAACGAATATAAGTAAGTTTAAAGATTTGGCGTTAATGTTGGATTAGTAATTTAAGCAGTTTATAATTGCACAATACTTGCAAGTGACTTGAAAAGTATTTACTCTATGTCTTTTACTGTCCACTCTACATTCTATTTCTGCATTTATATGTAATTATAAAATACATTATATAACATAATTATATATATATGAAAAAATATATGTTTAGCAGTATAGACATTATTTCCAGCTTATTTATAACTATCTTTATCTATATAAATATACTAAAATAAAGTATTAAAACTTTCGTAGAAACGTTTTTTTATTCAACATTTTTTTTTTAAGGAGTTAACAAGTACTTAATTTTGATCGTTCGTTTTATATGACAGTTGTGTGCTATAGTGGTCCGATCTGATAGATTTGTTTGGCTATTGTATCACTGTCTTGAACAATAATCCCAGCTAAATTTCATGATGATATCTTGTCAAAAAAAGTTTTCCGTACAAGAACTTGATTTTGATCTTCAGATGGATAAACGGAAATGGTTAAATCGACTAAGCTCATCATGCTGACCATTTATATATTATTTTTATAGGGTCTCCCACATTTCCATTAAAACGTTTGTTGCTGTTGCGCAGCATAAGACAACCAATTTTGCGATTATTGTTTTAAATGTTTTTTATTGCCAGCTTTTAATAAACAAAAAATATCAAACACGCGTAAAACAAAATACTTATAACTTAAAACTAAAAAAAAAATTAAACTATTTATGGCTTATTTGTTTGGTGTGAACGTACATATGTTTGTATGTAGGTGAAATAGTTTAAATTTAAACGTAAAAATAAAATATGACATAATATGTTACAAAACCAATATCAAAATTATAAACAATTTCAAAAAATTGTTACATGTGCACAAAAATTACATAATATCCTAATCAAAAACTTTCAAAATGATAACAAATTCGAAAAAATGCCAAACTATGCAAATATATGTGCTTGACTGTCAACAAAATGAAGCTTCACGTGTTGCTAAAATATGATTGGTACACAATACCCAAAGCTGAGGAGGTGAAAAGTGTAAAATAACTCCACCAGCTGGCAAAGCCCAGAAAACCTTTGTACACGTCCGCGTTGAAAACCTGTGTTGGGAAAAAATATATCGCATGGGATAATGTTATATAAAAAATATCGCATGACATTTTGCATACATTTTTTAAACTAATCCATTGCGCATGTATAGCATTTGCAGATTCTAAAATATTGAAATCTTCGCCTTGAATATGTTCACCACTATCGGACGCTGGCATGCTGCTCATTATTGTTGTGGCAACTGGCGGCAAAGCTGTCGTACCTGCCAACTCTACTTCATCAACGACCGAAGCCGCCTCGCTTAATGGACACATATCTGTGCAAATGCTGCTACTGTTGCTGCTTTTCAGTATGCCAGCCCAAGTAAATTCACCTAAGCTTTTGTACATCAAAGTGAGATATAAGCAGAGCAACAGCGGTGCGGCGAATTGCAGTGTGACCACGCAGAGGTAGTAGAATATGGAGGAAATCTGTGTTAGAATGGCAAAGTAGCAATTAATAACAGTAAATAAATTTACTTTTGCGCATTTATACCTTCTTCTGATACTCCACATTTGTAATGCGACCGGCTTCTTTGCGTAAATCGACGATTTTGTCATGCGCTAGATTTAAATAAGATTGCAAATAGATGGGTATTAAGGCGAAACGTAGTAAAACTACTAAAACGACAATAATGAGGCGCATTGTTTCGAATGCCTCCACTGAAAGCCTAAAAAAAAAATAATAATTGAAAATAACAACATAATATTATATGTAGTAATTATGATTTTTTGAACAAACAATGGTTTCTGCATGCCCTCGAATGCACGTTCAGTCAGATATTCTCTGCTTATAGGTCTGATCCAGAGTATTATCAACAGAAAAGGCAATATAAAACTGATATTGAGTAGTAGTTGTAATGTTTTACGACCGCTGCAGTATTTCAAAGAGTCCCAATGCATTTTTGCCATGCGTAAACCTGGGAAGGTGAAGATTGCACCTAAAAGGCCGCAACAAACTGCCATGCAGAGTTTCACAATCAGCTTGGATGCGGGACCACTACAAATATATCATACTGATGAGAAATATTATATAAAATTAAAAGAAATTACTTACGAAGAGGGCAAACCCTGTGCCGCAAGGAACTCTGAAGCACTCGCGTTAAAGCTACTATATGCGTGTTCCAGCCCCGTCTCAAGGTGGCGTTCATCAATGATGAGTACAATCATAGCAATTAGTAGGTAAACTAAGCAGGCGACTATTACCATGGAACGTTCACCGATCGACTCTTCATTTTGAAAATACAACCATGTAAGCGACGAGAGTAGTTTGCTAAGTAACGTATAACTTTTATTTTGGAAGAATAAATATTAAAAGCAAAACATACTTACAGCGAAAAGAAGACAACCAACAGGCACCAAATCATGCTTAGGTTGAACTCATTTTTCAGTGGAAAATAGTAGTGATAGACCTGCAGAAAATCAACATAATTGATTTAGCAAGCAGAAAAAAATTGTTTTTTCCAATACCTCTGATAAAATATACACAACTGCTGCATAAACGCTAAAATCTACCAGCCACTGGTATTCAGTGTAATATCTGAGATGCACAACATCGCGTGCTACCACTGGTGTTGTCTCAAGTTGCACTTCTAAATTACGTGGTATGTGAAATTGTCCCGTGCCATTTCGTGTCTCATATCCCTTATTACCTTTGCCGCCACCTTTCGTGTGCTTCTCTTTAGGCACACCAGCTAACGTACGTAGCTCATCGTCCGAAGGATGTAAATATCTATAAAGGCCTGTCGCGCATAATAACCACTTGGCAAAGGAAAAATGTGGACTTATCTTTTGTATAACACTCAAGGTTAAAAGTGTAAGCACCAATTGTGCACCGAGCACTGCCTGGAAAATAAATTATAGATGGTGTGTATAGAGCAGGTCGTTGTTACTTAAGTGCAGCCCAAGAAATTACGCTAGCAACACTAGAGCACTATCAATCTATTTTTGGCATCATTTTCATAAATATTTCTTGCATATTACGAAAAAATGTGTGCTCCACTTAGTTAAGTGACAATTTGAAATCTATATATACTTCAACTATGAAATAAAATTTCCATATATTTTTACACACCATTTTCTACACTGTTTCTTGTGGCTTAATCTTAAATATTACACTCACTAATTAATACATAATTAATGCGTTAATTAAAAGCGGAAACTGTGCTACTTAACGAGTACTATGATAAAAAAATATTGGAGTAACTATTTCTTCGGCCGGGAAATATGACACAAAAATAAAACAATGACAGCTGTGAACAATGTTGTTAATTCTAAATACCACTAAGCGAGCATTTTTTTGCTTCCTTAAAAAATATTGGTTTATTAATATTGTTTTTATGGCTTTGGTTAAATAACTTTTGTTTATTTTATTGCTAATATTTCTTTTTGAATAAATGTTAATTTTGAAAACAAAATTTATTAAGAATTGCTTTCAAATACATTGTGAATATCGTTCCCTGGTAACGAAAGAAGTAGCATTTCTTATCAGCAATGCAGCCAATCAATACAGCTGTTTCCTAGCTTATAAGAAATCGCAATTGGAATTAAATTTAACTTTTTCCAAAAAAGAAATTAAATAAATGGAAGTAAATCCAATAGCAGTGTTGCTCGTCTATATGGATAGCAAAGGAGACCGACTCTTATTTCGTTATCCCTATGAAAATGTGTACAAAGGTAAATAGCTGGCAAAAAATTGTCAATTCATTCACACCCACAAATACTTTTTGTTTTATATAGATAAGGCACCGTTGCAAAGTATGTCCTTGGCGGCATCTGCGCCGGTACTGAACAATCCACCACTGGTTGATGGCACGATGAGCAGTTCAACGACATCGCTGGTGTCACAAGTTTCTTCCGATACCAGCAGAAAACGCAATCCATATGCCATTAGTAGCAGCGATGAACTATTGCAAACGGCGCCACCACCAAATATTGCACCCGCTAATGTGTTTGGTGTTTACAATAGTTGCGGCAATACAGTGCCCAAAGGTCAATTGGAAGGCTTTACCGATGAAGTGCTCTCAACGCTATTTGCAGTAAAACAACAATTGTGCAATCAAAAACTCGAATTAAAAGTGAATGATGTGCGTTTCGTGTCGCATCCGACATTAATACCGCGCAATGAGCATCGCAACAACGCAGGCAATACAAGTAATGTTTCAAATACCTCGAACACATCTTTACCACTTATGGCGCCAACGACGGCTACAAACGCTACTATCGGTACTACAACAATTGCATCATCATTGCCACAGCCGAAATCTCAACCACAACAAATGCTTATAAATATTGTGTTCGCTTTGCATGCGCAGGCCAGTTATTCCATAGTGAAATGCTATTACGAACTAAGTAAGCGTCTCGGTTTAGCCCTACGTTTCGAAGAACAACGTGCCAGTTACTGCACCGAGGAGACAATGCTTATGGCACGCACACATGATGAACTCTCATCACAACAGCAACCATTGGAGCGCACATTTGACGCCATCACGGAGCGTTGTACTTTAGCGCAAGCGCTCAAATCAATTTATCATGATTTATGCACTACCGGCTTACTGAATACAACGTTAAATCAATACTTAACGGTAAGTTTTTGTTTGCCGCAAAAAGCGCATCAGCTGCACAAAAAAGGTAGCATGGTCGATCCTGAGGTTATAGATCGTTGTTTGAGTTCGTTGAAACCTTACCACGGCATGTTGCTTGTGGACTATGCGGAACTGCTCGACTGTGTGCCACCACGTGCTGCGCGCATGCTACTACAACTAGTGGAGATCTATACACCACTAATGAGTTTACAAATGCTTGCCTCTGAAGCCGACATGAGTATTGAGCATGTTTACAAAATGGTATCACATTTGGTTTATTGGGGTAAAGCCACAATTATCTATCCACTTTGCGAAACGAATGTTTATGTTATTGCACCCGATGCGCCACTACATACAAATTCGCATTTGGTTGAAAAATTCTCAGCGCGTTTTGCTGGCATGTCACTCTTCGATGCTATCGCACACTTTTCGCTGCCCACTTCCATTGGTCATCTCACCACACCACTGCAGCAATCGGCGCGTCAGGGTATGCTCGCACAAATGGTAGTCTGGATGTTGCAACATCACTTACTAATGCAATTGCATACATATGTACAATTTATGCCCAGTGATTTAGACGATTTCTATGGCGGCGTGAGCACTATGAACGTGGCGGGCAGCGATTATTCGGCCTGTAGTGATGGTGTTAATGAACACAAGTCATCGCTAATGGATTTACAAGAGGGCACCACCACGCACAGTTCAATTGGTGTGGGCGCTACAGGTGAACTGTTGATATCACCATTGAGTCGTAGCATGAATGTAAGCGACGACGAGCTGTAAGTGTTACGTCAGTAAAATGTTCATATTATTTACTAATTTTTAATGTTTAACACAGCAATGCCGGTTCCTTGCTATCCTGCGCCAGTCAACCACTGCCAGTGCCGCAAACTAGTCATCGCTCGATTACCGAAGATCGCTACTCGGGTGGGTGTTCAACAGCATCAGATAATATTGTCGCACAACCATCCTCTAGTCACAAGTCAAATTATAGGTGAGTATASTGCTATTTTTTACTTTTTTATTTTATTTTTATATTAATTTTTTAATTTTATTTTTTTTAATATTATTTTTTTAATTTTATTTTTTTATATTAATATTATATTTTATTATTTTAGTTTCTTTAATATTTCACATAACATATTTATTTACATAAACGCTTAGTATGACTGCCTCCATAAGCACTGAGAATTGTGACAGTATCGCCTCCATCGAAGATGAGGAACGCATTAAAGAGCTACTATCGGTTTTCAATGATGCCGATCGTGCGGCCATACGTCGTATACCTGCCTCAACGAACATCGATGATCTCTCGTTGCTGGTGAAACTCTATCAGGCGGGTTATTTTAAGAGCGAACATCACCTCGAGGAGATTATGTACTTTCAAAGTTTACGTCCAGCTGAACTTTTACAGCTATTGGATAAATTTCGTGATGTGCTTATCATTTATGAGACTGAGGACCCTGCCATTGCATCGATGTACAATAATAAGTGAAGCAAACAACACAGAAAAATGTGAAATGATTTGTGAGTGTTGTGGCTGGCGCTAGTGAACCGACATGCCAAGTGTGCTAAAAGTGCCTTACTTGTGTGCAAATGTGCGAAGCATTCCTGAGCGCAAAAAAGCGCATTTTTTTGTATATAGTTACGTGCTACAGTTTAAATTTAAGCTTAATGTTTGTCATATTTTTTCCTAGCTTGTAATCTGTTTAAAGTGAAATACTACAATCATTTATTTTTGAATTTTTATTTTTTTTGCTTATTAAAACTAGCGGTTTCTTCCATTGTTTTTTTATGTTGTATAATTGTTACTTTTTCTACTACAATACAAGTGTTAAATTTAATTAATTTTTGTTTTTTTGTTTTCACTTACAAGGAAGGGACGACACAACGTTTACAGTGGAGTATATATATTGCTACGTACGTTTGGTTTTTCCTTTAACTTTCATTTGTTTAAATTATGTTAACATAGAATTAGAGTTTTAAGTTTAAGTGTAGCTTAAAATTTCTAACTTACATACACATATAATATTTATACATTTATTTATATCTTTAATTATTTATCAGCAAAACAATCAATCAGATATAATAATTAACGATTGCAATTGTTATTGTTGTATTTTTTTTTAGTTAATAATGATAGAAATTGTAGCGGTTTGCGTTAAAAAATATTATTTACTATTGTTGCACATTTAATTACATATTACATAATATAGAGTGTATGTGTATATGATTGTGTTGTGTGTGTATTAAAAATTGCCAATTTCGTATAAATATTAACTGAAGTTAACACATAGATATGTGTATGATATTTTCTAAGATTTTCATTTCTATTTTTGCTGTCAAGTGTTTGCGTTTCTACTTTTTTAATATTATTTTGCATGAAAAGTTTTGCGGTATGTGTTTTTCTTGCATGTTTAGTTTTGAAAATTATTAATTTTAACTGCGCTTATACATCTGCAGGTGTTTGCTTGTTGGGTCGCCCTCCTTGCTTACAAATTGTTCTTATGCCATTTGCGTTTGTTTCTGCTTAAATTTAACCCATTTGCTGCAACGTCTTTACTTTACTAAACAGCCAGTTTTTGTTGCTGTTGTTGATTTTTTTCGAAAATTTTCCCCCACAAATACAAGAAAGTATCATCTTCCGAACTGCACGACATTTTCAACTCCCCACAATTAGTTAATCGCCGTATTCGCCGTGCGTTCAATAAAAACGAATCACGTTGCATTGTTGTTGTCGCCGTTGTTCTCGTGGAAATTCGTGCCATTTACGATGAAGGATGTGCCGAGTCCATAGAGATGGCCACAATATTTGGCATTGTCGATATTGTCCTCGAAGAACATCTGAAAGTTGCAGAAAATAAAAGGGAAAACATGAAGAGCGTTATTTCAGCAAAAGGTAGGGAAGGAGAAATATGTATTTGTTTATTAAATTATATAAAGTAGATAGGTAATAAATTGTAATATAAAATATAGCTATGTGGTAGTGATTTTTGCTTTATTGGTGAAGAAAATATTATATACTATTAATAGTAAGCTGTTATTAATTAACAGCTTGAATAATAAGGAAAAGGAGTAGAAGCAAAAAATACTTAAAGCAATAAAAATATGCTAAAAACACTAATTTTTAAAGCAAGCTATACTAAAAAGTTTAAAATATTAACCACACGTAAAAAAAAAACAATCAAAAACACGCTTAAAAAATTAATTATGCTATTCGAATAAATTAGTTATTATTTTTTATATTTAAACAGGTTCTAAATA